CTTATTTTATCAGGAGGCTACTCTAGTTATGCTTTTTAATGTTTTATGCAGAACCTAACGTAAGTGCAAGCATCTTCTCACCACGGGGCATCCAGAATTGGGAAGACTCATCACTCCTTCTATTTATAGCTCTTTGTGCTGGACAAATCAAAGCTGATAGAAGTGTATCCTGTACAAACCAGTCTTCCCAAAAGTATCTCTAAACAACCATTTCCCTTTATCGGACAAAAGAAGTGCCAAGATACGATAAGACTATTTTGTACTCCCTTTAGTATAAAGACCCAATGTAAGATTATTATTTTTTTGCAGTTAACTTAATTTAGCTTCTGAAGATAGTCTATAGCCTGTTTTCTCAAGATAGGTTAATGTCCTTAACTTGTACAAAGCTTTATTAAAATCAACAATTCACTTGTATTTTTAGAGCACATGTACTTATTTCTGATATGGAACTAAAATCACCTCACTGCAGAAGAGGTCAAGTACATTTGGTGGCACACATTATTTCAGATATTGAAGTGTCAAATTACATTTGTCCTGCACAAGTACTCAGAAATGCATTGCCCTGTAGCAATGTAAAAAAAGGAAGAACCAAATAAACGAGACAGATAAAAAGCACCTGTTTCTAATATCATAACACTTAATATCCAAGTACCATTTAATTTCAGTAGTGTGGTCATTTTCAAATCTATAGCAGGAGGGTTTATACCTATTCAGACAGCAGTAAGAAGTATTGGGAAATATTGTAAAGTGCTTGGCCCATTTTATTTATGTAGCACTTTATCAGATACATAGGTGGAGATGAGGGGACTTTTCCCTGCTATAGCTGGTGTGCCAGTTCTTTCTGGAGCATGAGGTGTAGGCAGGCAATATCTGGAGGCTATTATCACCTCTACAGTTTAATGCTGCTTAGAGCTGCTTTTGAAGGCCACCTGGAAGCTGTAATTGATGCAAAATGCAAATCCCACATGCTGCTGGATGACAGCCTTCAGTGCTGCATATAGAAGCATTGAGGTTTTTGTGAGCACTACAATGGCTCCAATATGCTTCAAAGTGTTGGTTTTAACCCCTGCAGATTTTTCTGGCTTACCACCTGCAGGGCCTTCAGATACATTTGTTTTGAGCTGGGATGTGGTTTGGGGAGGGCCCACTCCCCTCCCCCCACCACATAAGATGTGGAGAGGGCAAGAGCATGGTGTTTATCAGTATTATGTCCCATTCCTATGAAACACTCTAACTACAGAGATACGGATGGCATTCTCCCTGATTATATTTAGAAGCACAGTAAAAACAGTCTTTATGGAGATGTTTTATTAAGTAATTTTAAGTAACATTACTGAGGATTTTCAAACAAATGGTGATCATTTGGTTGGAATACTGGGACAGATTTTGTATCTTGCTTTTAGTGATTATAAATTGTCTGTGTATTCTTGTAAGCCTTTGAAAGTCCATAGAGACTCACTAGTATACAAATATTGCATGTAAACAAATAAGAACAGATGATCTCCAAATTCTGCTACTGGGGCACAAAACGTAGTGTTCTCTCTTTAAAGAAATCCAAATGATAAAGAAATCACTGCACGTATCAATCTAAGTAGTCCCGAGAAGTCAATCTTCTAGATTAGGAGACATGCATATTATTTATATTTATTTAAATATTCTTTAATTGTTTTGTACATTGCCCTGGACAGAAAGATAATCAAATTTAAAATGTAATAAACCCATTTTTAAACAACTCCATTGATGCTCTTGTCTTTTAACACTTATAATGGCTCATTGTAAATAAAACAGACTTACACTCTGCCTAGATTAAAATAAGCTTGAGTTTCTTGGCAAGGGAGCCTCATAAGTGGAGCAATGGTGTAGAAAAGGTCCTTGACCATGGGTATCAAACTCGATCGCATCATGTGACTTATTGTGATTTTTTTGCCTTTGCGGAGCCAAGGTGGGGGTGGCCTGTGCATGACGCATCCGGCCTACGGACCACCAGTTTGACAGTCCTGTCCTAGATCAAGAATCTCTTCTTAATGAAGTGACACACAGCACGGCCAGTGAACATCAGAGATTACATAGGTATTTCAGTTACAGCTGTTTTCTGCTACAACAGGCAGAAACCACAAGCTGTCTTCTCTCACTTCTTCACTGACTTGTGCTATATATGCTGACAAACTTCCTTATCTGCCTCTGCACCTACAAATTAAATGGAGGGACCTCTTGAACTTTCCAAATGTGTAAAAAAAATCATTTTAACAGTCTCTTCTGCACCTTTCTGGATTGTAGTTTTTATTTACTTGCAGTTCTTTTTTGAAAATTTAACTATACAGAAGTGTAGACAGGCAGATATATGACCACTGTGAGATTTCTAATGTATTAAGGAATTTGTAAACTTTTAAAAACACATTTTTAATAGCACTATTTTTTTAAAAAAAACCTCTCATTTTCATCTCAGGCAATGAGAATGATTTATTTATTTTTTTGTTAGTTTCAGGGGAAATTACCTTAATTCCTTCCCAAACGTGGTATCCTCCAGCAATTCTTGCCTGGGAATTCTGGTGGGCGACATCTAAGCTACCCGAAGAACACCATAATAGGAAAATGTACTGCATATACTAGTATGTCTTACCATAAATTTCGGCCTTGGTTTCTAGCATGTTTTTCTCTTTTTCCAGTGATTCTCTGTAAGGAAGTGGGAAAGACAGATATTTAGTAAAAAAATAAAGGTTTCTGGCCCACAAAGATATACCGTAGTTAGCTTCTATAATGGCAGATGAGATGACAATCTAGTTATATTACTTCAGTTTTCTGAAAGGTGGTCATATGACTAAGTGTTCCTCTGAAGATGCTTGCATTTTGCTATGTTAATTTTCCTGCACACATTTTTTTTTAAAAAAAATCAGTCTTATGATTCCTTCTCTGATTTGGAAGTGACATAATTGATTTTTGAATTGTTACAGTATTTGCTATATCATCTCCTTAAAAGAGTTGTTACAAAACATTGGAAATGGGACAATGAAATTCTCTTAAAGAAAAATTTTGGTCCTGTTCTCTCATAAAACTCTTGGCTGCTTTTACATCATGAAACATTCAACCTGAAATTTTTGTGCATGTTGGTGAAATGCTGCACATATTTTAATGCTGGTTCATTTTTATAAAACTTGTAGCTAAGTAAAAAAACTCAATTTTTAAAAAAAGAAGGAATAAATCCAAGATTTATATTGTTAGCAGAAAATTAATCCATAGTTTAAAGCATGAGAACAAAACAAAGCATCTGAAAGTAGTATCTCTAGCAACAGCTCCATTACAACACAGAAAACACAGCAGCACTGATATAGCGGGAAATAAATATGCGCTAGCTATTTGTTTGCCAGTTCCAAGTAAGCTCTCTAGTATACTATACTAGGAAAGGAAAGGCGGTAAGCACAATACAGTTTGTCCCTAGAGAACAAAACAAGAGCCAGAGTGAAAATGGTGCCAAACTAGATTAGAGAGTGAATTGAGGGTGAAGTGCAGGATAAAGTTATATTGGGAAGTGCAGCTGAAGAAACAAAGCAGAGAAATTCAGACAATTCTAGAATTACTGAGTGTCTAATATATATATAAAAAAATATTGAGATGAAGAGTAATTTGAGAATTAGAATGAAATGGAACCCCAATTTTGTAGTCCATATGCCTCCTGAAGTGGGTGTCATAGGAGGATTAAATGATTTGTGATGGCTGTGTACTGTTTTCATCAGTATTACCAAATGCCCCTGAATAAAATTGCTGAGGAACATAAACAGAAGATTAATTCTGTAACTTTCCCACAATCAGGAAAGCCGACAGCAGAATAAAGCCTTCAGTCCAATCCCACAGAAAATTTCATCATGGTGCAGCTACCTTTCAATGTTTGCTACTGCCAAAAGCCATAATCTGTCCTGAGATTTGAATGATAATGGGCAATTTCATCATGTCACATCCTTTAATGTTAATACTTTGTGGAGAGAAAGCCCACAGTGCCAGCAGCTGTTTCCTCACCCTGATATAAGAAACGACACAGAAAGTGACTCTGAGGTGACAAGATGCTACTGGTATAATAAAAAGGGAATAACTACAAACAGAATAGCTTCTGCTTGGACTGACAGGACTTTAAATCTCTAAAATTACTTAGGACCAATTAATTTACTTTTATAGCTTTTCTTCTTAGAAGTAGCAGCCCCACTTTATTCTATGCTAGCACAAACTTCAATGAAGCATTTGTTCAGTTTGGGGTACTTTAGGTCAGATATATTGTAAATTAATTGGCACAGGTTCAGAGGAAGGTTACAGACATGGTAGAAAATAGGAGCCCCAATAAGCAATCTCTAGGTACCTTATATCAGTGATGGCAAACCTTTTTTGGCTGCTGTGCCAAAAGCGGGGGAAGCACATGGGAGGGGGAGGGGTCGTGCGCTGGTGTGCCACACCCATAATGCTATGTATGCGACCCCCCCTCCGCATGCACGCGTGCAACCAGTGACCCCACCCCGCTTTTGCCACAATTTTTTCACCCTCCCCAGGCTCCAGAGACTTTCTAGGAGCCTGGGGAGGGCAAAAAGAGCCTCCCCCCCCCCCGGACGCCCTCCAGAGCTTCCCTGAAGCCTGGAGGGCAGAAAATGGGAACCTGGAAGTTCAAGAATGATGACTTCTGATTTGCTCGTAGGGCTGGTTTTTGCCCTCCGGAGCCTTCAGGGAAGCCTCCTGAAGGCCCCTGAAGGCTCCAGAGATGGAAAATCGGCCCTATGGACAAACTGGAAGTCACCATTCCCAAACTGTAGGTCCGCTTTTTGCCCTCTGGAGCCTTCAGGAGGCTTCCCTGAAGGCTCTGGAGGGCAAAAACCGCCCCTACTAGCAAACCGGAAGTGATTTCCGGTTTGTCCATAGGGCTGATTTTCGACCTCCGGAGCCTTCAGGGAAGCCTTCAGAAGGCTCTGGAGGGTGAAAAATGGTCCTATGAGGAAACCGGAAGTCCGGTCCCGAACTTCAGGGAAGCCTCCGGAGGGCAAAAAACGGCCTTATGGACAAACAGAGCAGAAATCATGCATTAGGAACATGTGGGATATAATACAGTGCTGTGTAAAGTTTTTATCCAACCTGTGAAGTGTCCAGTCATAATAAAATCAATCTCCACAGAAACATTTAAATGAACTTTCTCCCACTAAGAAGAATTCAATGAAGTATTTCTGCCTCTTCCTCTATATTCAATATACTCCTTTTAAAAAGAAATTGGAAGCTCATTTTTATCTCTGCTTGATCCAGAATAGCACACAATAATCAAACCAACATACTGCAAGAGTTACAGATGCATGGTTAGACCCAAGACAAGTTCTACTAGTACCTTCGTGCAGATGTTAGTTCTTCTCTGCGTAGCTTAAAATCCACCTCTTCCAAAGCTTGCCTGCAAAACATCAACTTGTCTTCTAGGCTCTCTACCTGAAATACATTAGACAAGCAGGTATGACAAGATATTTCATCGATGCCCATTCTCTTAAGCAGCAGCACTTGACCAGAGTGTGCATACCTTGCATTTTAGCTGGAGGATCTGCTGCAATTACATTTCTTGCGACCTGCAAAGTTTTTGAGCAAAACAGACAAAGCTTCTGGATTGAAACTATCACTCTTACCAATAAGGCAGAGAATATTGAATGAGCCCATGACCTTCCATTCCACCACCTCTATGTCAAACTGCACTTCCAATGTTTATTGTTAAGTTGATCTGTGTGGAGTAATTTTATGAAAAAGTAGCTGATAATCTGGCGTTGCCTGGGTATTTATTTATGGGGGGAAATGTCTGGACCAAATGTAATTTCTAATTTTGGGTTTTCCGGCTTCGTGTTTGTGTGAATAAAGGATGGTCAGAGCATAAAAAGATGGCAGCTCCGACCACGCTTTACTCACCCAAACACGAAGCCGAAAACACCAGCCTGAAGATGGCGAGTGAGACCTCACCGAAACGTTGTCAAGACAATCTCAATCTTACACGGGAAAAGACCCGAATACAACAAGACCAACATACCTACACCTGTGACAATCTACAAAAACAAATACACACACACACACACACACACACACACTCACTCACTCACTCATTCATACATACATACATTCTGTGAAACATTCTAGAAACACATCTGATTTTCACAGATGGGGAAATGTAGAAACAAAAATAGTGGTTACTGGTAGTCCTCGACTTACAACCATTCATTTAATTACTGTTTGAAGTTACAACAGTTCTCAAAAAAGAGATCTACAACCATTCTTCGCACTTACGACCATCACAGCATCGCAACTATCATCAAAATTTGTGGGTTTGGCAATCTGCATGTATTTGACAGTTGTAGCATCCCGTGGTCATTTGATTCTCATTTGTGATCTTCCCAGGTCTGACAAGCAAAGACAATGGGGAAACCAGATTTGCTTAATGATCACAAGATTCACTTAACAGCAGTGATCCGCTTAACCATGGCAATAGGTCATAAAATTGGGCATGACTCATTAACTCCTCTTATCAACAAGAAATTCTGGTCTCAAATGGTCATAATGGAAGACTAGCAGTATTTAAATAAGTTAAATTGGTTTTTTTGTGGAACTTCATGACTGCAAAGTCAGATTGGGATCAATCCAGTATCAATGTTAAGATTTCAACCTCTGAAATTAAACATTCCAAGAGTCACTGAATCCAGGAATAGGCTTTCAAAACTAAAATTAAATTTAGGCCAAATTTCAAATAGAATTAAACTGGGGCTAAACTGCCCAGTTCTCCAGGTTTAGTTTTATATACCAGCAACTGAACAAATTTCTTTTGACTAAATTATCAGGTAGTTCAAATTTGAGTAGTGGATGCCTCTCCAATAATCGTTTAGTCCAATTCCTCATGAATCATAATTTATTTGACTAATGACAAGGCTTTTACAGAAATTGTGAATCAAAGAATATAGAAACTAGGCATAGAAATTAATTAAGAAAGATCACACATTATTAGTCCTGAGCTACCTAATGAAGGCTAAATTGCTAGGAATGAGAGGAAGGGAGAAAAGGATTTTTCAATCTTCCAGCAACCTTATGTAGAGTTCTTATTGCTGAGTTCCTGTTGTCATTAGCTATGGAAACAAACAATATAATTAGAGAAAGTGGTATAAGTTCAGTAATCTTTTCAGGAAAGCTACATACATGTAGTCCTTGACTTAAACTACAACTAGGAATAGAACTTCCTTTGTTAAGTGAGATGATTAAGTGGATTGAGCCCAATTTTATCACCTTTTTTGACCATGGTTATTAAGTGAATTGCACAGTTGTTAAGTGGATATGGCTTCTCTACTGACTTTACTTGACGAAAACTGGATTGCAAATGGTGATCACGTGACTGCAACTATTGTACATTCATGCTGGTTGCCAAGTGCCCATATTTTGATCAGATGATCATAAGGAAGTTGTGGCAGTCATAAATGCGAGGATTGGTTGTAAATCATTCCTTCGGCACCATCGTTAACTTGAACAGTTGCTAAATGGTGGCAAGTCAAGGGCCACCTACATGTGCTATCTTAAATTTGGAAATCAAATCTAAAGGCCAAATCACAGAGCCAAAAAGAATATTTGCAGTCCAAGGACTACTTTATATAATGTGTACCTCCAGTTACGGAAACAAAGAAAGCTGTCCTTTCAGATAAGTCTCAATCTGGCTAAGAGTATTAAAGCATAAAATAATGCATAGCTGATATGGATGCACATCTGGATCTCCATCAGTTTTTCACTTCTGCTCTCCAGATGTTTGGGGATTAAAACACTCAGAACAATTTGTGCATTCAGCTTCTCAGTCCACAATTTTTGCAGCAAAATAAATACTTCTGCTTCTTGAAGCTGATAATATGTGCATATTTTCCTACAAGGAAATAATTAATAAGAAAACTCCTATGTTATCGTTAATGTAAATGTTACAACATATATGTATGGAATATAATCATATTCATTAAATAACATACAGGTGGACCAACCTGTGAATGTTGATATACTTTTCTGTTCAACTGCTTGGACTTTTTTCCCCACTGAAATAAGACATCACCTGTACTGCCTTTACTGCTTTTTTACAACTTCAGGCAACCATGTCTTCAAAATAAAAAGATGACATTGGAAGAGGCCCAGGGAGTTGCCCCAGGTGGAGCAGGCAAATTAACTTGGGCAATTCTAAGTCTCAAGTGGATACTTTTAACTGCTGTGATCATCTTGTATTCAGCTGGAGTTGTGGCAGGAAGCAACTGCTGGCTGCTTAAGATAGTCATCTAATTAGTCTGCTAATTTATTTTTCAGTAAAGTGGAAAGACAAGAGAGGGAGAGGAACAGCTGAAGCAGGCAGCATAGGTAATCAAGGTTTTGAAGAGGGAAAGGACGTTTCAGAACAGAAGTCACGCCAAAGGGAAAAGGGCTCTAGGGATTCTCACTGGTTTGGAGCCCAAGGTAAAACCACTATTTTTGTAATTCTGGGTACAAAGAATATGGTCTTTGCTGGCTAGAAGAATATCGACTTTCAAACTACTGTCCATCTAGCCATGCAGAATGCACACACTCAGACAAATGTTTTGCTCTTTCCCTTTCTTTATTTAGTTCTGTGCTCTGCACAGAATACAGGATGATATGTTCTTTCTCCAGAAACTAGTCCCTTCCCCTGCAAGAGGATTAGAAAGGGCACTTGGCATGATGAGAAGATAATAAAAATGGCTGACAAATCCATGCCGGCTTCCTTTCCAATTCCCCCTTTCACTGCATACAGTGAATCACCCATGCGCCCAGAAGTCAAGGGAAAGTGTGATTGTTCACCTGGTCAGCCTCTTCCATTAGCCTGATGAGATACATGGAATTGGGACCACTGCCAGACCTTTTCTACCATAGCACATATCCCTTCCACAGGTAATATTTGGAAATCAATTCTACTGATCCCTGGTTAATCACTTTATGGGTTAATTCTGGGCTAATTAGCAATTCTCACACTCTGCTGTGGGAAAGAAAGCAAAGTTAGCCTCAGGCAAGGGACAGGAGAGAAATACAGAGGTGGGGGACTAATTTATGCCAAGAAAAGCAGGCTGCTATGAAAAAAAAATACTGTCTTTCCTTGTAATCTAACAGCTAGTGACAAAATACATCAGTTGAAATGCTATTATGTAAAGTACTGGTATTTAACAACAATAATGGAAGGAGCAGAAATCTTCAAGGTGCCACTAGCCTTTGCTTTTGCTGCAAAAGGCAAATAGACTACAAAGAATAATTATTCAGGATAATACCAAAGGTTCAGTTAGTCCAGCATCCTTCTTGCCCAAATGATCAAATACTTATGGAAAGCACACAAACATAAGGGAAAGAACTACTCCTGCTGTTCTTGCTGCTTAGCAACCAGAACTGAGTGTCATCATATCTAATAGATCTTTAAAAACCCCTTCTGCACAAATTTGACCATGTTGCCACAAATTCTCCTGTTCTGAGAACAGATGTTGTTCTCAGATACATGCTATTTCTGTGACTATTATGAGAATTCATATGGATTTAATTTAATATGTACTTAATTCCCATCATCTGTAAGAGCTACTTAGGAGGAGATCCAAAGAAAAGAGGAAGAATGTTTTTTTCTTAAATTGACACCCTCTAGTAGACTACAAGTCTAATGATCCCCAGACACACAGTTCTTCTCTCCAAGTTCAAAGTCCTAGCAATGTCACTGTTTTCTTCAGCTGCATGTTTTGCTGAACCCTACACTTGGCTTCCAGAAGGGCCCAACCTCAGTCATGAGACATGGAAATATTCTGATTAGCAAATCCCTTCTCATTTTACCACTTTTTTTTTCTCCAGAATCTGCTGAAGGGAATGGAGAATAGAATACTATTTACTGCTTACACCTCATCCAATTAGTATATCTCTATTAGTATTCAGAATAAATGCAGTAGCGCCACGGACTTTTTTGAAATAAGTATTTAGACATGTGTTCAGATACAATGACCACTTTTGAAATTTGGATTCCCTTGAGGGATCTTGAGACAATTGCCCCAAAAGATAAGCTGGACCAAAAAAGCAGAAAAAAATTCACAGCCCCAAGAGATGTACTTTGTACACTTAATGCTGATATTAATTTATACTATCTCTGGTAAAAAGACCAATAATCTCACATCACAACTGAGGAATGATATGAATGTGTGCTCAAATATTTTGAGATTCCAAAATAAATAACTTTCTAATTAATTAATAAAAAGCACTGTTCCTTGCACAAAGGCCATGAAAAGATTTTAAGAAAAACTTTTCCAAAACTATCAAGTAAATGAAGTGATATTTGATAAGGGAATTTTATTACTGGCATTTAAAATGGCTTATATTAGAATTGTACCAAAAGTAGATAAGGATCATACTCAAGTGTGCTAATTATCATCCTACCTTATGGTGATAGTGATAAAGAT